TACTTTCGAGAGTTGTACGCTAAAACGGATGACAATAGACTCTTGTCAGGTCACGGCTTATCGCTTATCCTCTTTTTATTTGCACTTAATACAAGACGAACCCTACTTTATTGTGTTGATCTTGTAAATGTATGACGTTGGCGTCTTTCTTATTTTAGTGAGTATTGTTTCATACGGAAGACAGTTTCAAAAAGAATCTCAAAACCCAACCTATAATTTTTCAACCATTATCGATCCACTGCAGGATGAAGGTCTCAGCATGCTTTCTCCAAATGACTCTGTTTAGTGCTTGTTGGTACCAATTAACCTTTCCCCAGTACTTTTGTAGCCCATCTCCCCATCTTTTTCTTTGGCGTCCCCACTTACTTTGTTCAATTTTCTGCGTTTTGTAATTTTGTAAAGGGGTTCTTAGAGAACAGCTTTAATGCTGAGAGAGCCCCTTTCGCATTGTATTTATTTCCACGAGAGTTGCCAATGAATATATACACACATGTATATATATATATATATATATATATATATATATCGGTTGGGTGACAAAACCTCGTATCTCAAAAATCATGAATTTTCAGGAGAGCGAAAAAACTTTCCTGTCTCAACAAATTTAGTGCTGTGACACCTTCCTTTCCTTTTAAAACTGGAATATTCATACAATTTTTAATGTCATTGTTGAAATACAGTAAAATAATTTTTTTTATATATTTGAAAGTGAGTTACGAGGTTTTTGCGTTTATCTACATTGAGATACGAGTTTTTAGTTTTTATTCAAATTGAGATACGAGTTCTTACTTTCAACTCTGAATGAGTTACGAGGATTTGGTTGAATAAGTTACGAGGATCTGAATACACTAACTTCGGTACTGTAAGGCCGTGTGTGAGTTATGAGGAAAAGGAATTACGTATCTTATGTTACGAGGTTTTGTGTGCAGTTTCAAAGGGGGTTAAAGTTACGAGGTTTAGTTTAAGGGTGTTTGTGTGGAATTTGTGAAAAACCGAGAAGGAGGCGTTTCATGGATTTATCAGGTGGTGTCGTAGGCCATTAGGTACAAAATTATGCAAAAAAAAAAAAATCAAAATCTCGAAAAAATGAGATACGAGGTTTTGTCACCCCACCGACGAATATATAATCCGAAAGGAAATGAGAGAGTTTAATGATAGCGTAGCCTATATCAAATCTCCACATTGCTGTCCTCCCTTTATGAATTGTTTGCAAATGTTGAAAAATGTATCGGCGGAGACAGTTTTTTGAAAAAAATGTTACTGTACTAATTTGATATTCCATTTTCGTTGTTCAGTGTTCTATCCAGTAACGGAATAAAGCACTTAATAAGAAACTATTTCCAACTCCAACTCCAACAACGACGACGACAACAAGATGAGGTAAATGGTACCCGGTGGGAACAAATTCATTGAGTGCGCCTTCTCATGTAGTAGGTCGGCTAAAGCCGGGGTAAACAAAATGATTGCAAGGCACTCGGGGATAACCGTATTAATATTGATGAGGCTACCCTGGGTAAGTATGGCATATTATTATTATTATAAAAAGAACAACAGATGATTTTTTTAAATAACTTAGACAGAAAATGATCTAGATGTTTTAGTGTATTTACATGTTTTCATTATTACATTTGTTTAAAATGTTAGTGATCACTCGCCATATTATAGTATAGTATTAATGACTGCTTTGAGAGAAAACAACTATTTCTCGAATATTAAAGCAGTTATTAATACTTTTATATGCCGAAAAAAAAAGAGTCAACTTATGACACCATCTTGGCCTTTCTCTAGTTTATCTGCACGGTTGTTTTTTATAAGTGTATCTTTGAGAGTAGACTAGATCTAGATTCTAGTCTAAGCAAGATATTTTTACAATCTTAGGGGTGGGCCGGCCCTGTGGGGAATATGGAGAAAAACCTGCGCTTTCATATGACAACTCACTTATTGAGTATCACCTTCAGGATCACGAGCAATATTAGTTTGAATCTCTGGTAATTAAAACATCGACCAATTTAGCAATGGCCAATGCATAGGGATGTGTGCAAGTGCGCAATGGCCAATGCATAGGGATGTGTGCAATCTCTATGGGAAGGATTTTAGCACTACTAAACCTACTTACTAGAATCTAGGCCTACTAGATCTATTTTGAAGAAAAAAAATATGGAGAATTTAACGTACCCTTTTGGTGCTCTTACTGTCAGCAAGTCTTGCATTTGATCATCATCAAGAAGTTGAAATCTTGGGAGAATTTCTTCAGCCATTTTTGCCTTCGGTTTGGAATTTAGTACGATCGAGATTTCAGTATTGAAATTACCGACCAATTCTTCGCACACGTACGGTATCCTCGATCGCTCAAACCAGTTTTTAACATGTGAACCTATGGGTATTTCACCAAGACTGAACTATTTTCCCGGTAACCATGGTAACTGGATTTTTGCCGGGATTTTAGAACTATTACATGGGTTTGGAATTTTACCGGGAATTTTAAAGGAATAGTTAACGTTTATGACTGCAATTTCGACCAATCAGATGACTAGATTTCTTAAGTGAGGTATATAATCAACATTATCACGATTATCAATTGTTCTGATCTTGTTGTTGACGATGTTGTTTTACCTAATTTTGAAGACGCTTTATTTTCCGCCTGTTTCACTTTATAAATCTACTATGAGCATACTAATTAAAGTTACTATCAAAAGCGTGTGAATAATATTTTGTATTCGAATTTTGAAGAAAAACACGAAAATAGTGGGTAACAATTAATAAGCATTTCACGACAGTCGGTAATCATTGTTCAGGCTTTTTAGATTTTCCTTCATTTCTAATGCGTGCCATTCTTTTTGATTATTTCTTGTTTATCCTTTTAAAGGTACTATGTCCCATTTGCAGGCCAAAAAATAAAAAGGTTAAATTCCGATGGCATTTGAAAGATAATACTAATTTAGAACTTCATTAAAAAAAGGGGGGCTTGAAAATGTCTTTAAGTGGAAAAATAACGACTATTAGTTGTCGAATCGACTTGAGAGCTATAGAGGTTATGTGTTTTGTATCATATTGCGTGCATGACATTGCACAAAATCTTCATGATCTTCGAAGAATTTATACTATTTTCTAAATATTGTATATTCATAATTATTGATTTTTTTCTATAAATAATTTATAAAAATTCACATTTTTCATGATTAAACTGGAACAAAAATACTCTATGTTAATGCATACACACAACAACATATTATTATCGATCTAACTTGGATGCTGGTGTGAAGAAATAAGATTCTTAGGGGAAAAATAGGAAATTTATATTATCGATATAAAGAAAATAATGTGAGGACATGATCACAGACTCATGAGTGAGATGCCAATATGTCTAGTGATTTGCAAAGTTTTTCATGTCATTAAAATTTCACAACTTTCTTATTAGTTATCCGATTTTGCTCAAACTTTGTTTCGATTGGTTTATCTGATTTTTCTGCTTCTATTGGAAGAAAGCTATTTTTGGAGTACTTGCCCTTTAAGTATAATTGTCCAGATATTCGTGCTTTTGTGTAGCAAATGCAGAGATGAAATGTCCCCCTTTTCACCACTGTTCACAATTCAAGCGCTTGCGCACGGAAATATTTTCATCGGTATACTTTGTAGTTTTTTCGGAGGTTCATTATTCCGTGGTTACTTATTCGTAATTCCAAAATACTAATTTCCCATGCCAACGGATTCCTACTTTCGAACAATGAATTCATTATTCTGAAGATGTCATTTCAGAAAACGATACAAGGTTCATTTTTGGAACCCCTATTCAATTCTTTCAAAATTACAAACCCTATTTCATTTTCGGAATAACGAACCTTCTGAAAGAATGACATGTAACCCCTCTTTCGTAATGTGGCTCAACTTTGACAGAATTGAATATTGAACAACAGGGCTTAGCCATAGCTTAGCAATTGATCGTGCGATTGATTTTTGCGATTTATTGCACATAGTGATCAATGTAATCAGTCGCAAAAATCACTGGTCCCGTCAATTACTAAGCTATGATAAGTCAGGATTCCGGGTCAAGATATCTTCAAAATAGGATTAAACGAATTTGAGGGATGGTTGAGTGGTTTTCCTAATCGTTGCACCAGGAAAGTAATCTAGAAAAGAGAAGGAAATAACTTTAAAAGTGCAAAGAAATAACTAAAGATCACAGCTTTCGAAGAAGCAAATAACTATCTGCTGCTACAAAAAGTGGCATTTGTGTAAACATCTTTCAGAAATTTTGGGCAGAACTTGAAACAACAAACAAATACAAACTGACTTTAGTGAATTTGTAATTTCTTTATTGATATGAATTTAGAAACTGTGATATTAGGGATGCAGGTTGATACAATTGTTTTTTGTTTGCATTGAAGCAGGCCAACAATATAACCATAGTGTATTACATTTGAAATTACACTTTTCCAAATTTATTTTCTTCTAAAAAAGAAGTTATTTTTTTACCAATGATTATAGAACATGCAAACCGGTCTAGTGATTTACTGATTGTACCAAGTTGTGAAAGTTGAAGTAAAGTTGTAGGTACTTAACCGTATCAAAAACTTCTTCTGTATATATAAAACGGAAACCAACATAAATTAGATATTAAATCATGCGACGTGTAAGCATGAAACCGAGTATTAGATCTGATTTAAGAATGCGTTTCGTAAACATGCTAACAAGAATATTTCCCCCTTTTCTCTCCCCTTCTCTCTCTCTTGTCCCCCTATCTCTCTCTCTTTCTCTCTCTCCCTCTTTCTCTCTCTCTCTCTCACACTCTCTCTCTCTGTTTCCCCCTTTCCCCCCTCTAAAACCTCTGTAAATGATGTGGGATATGCTCATGTCATGCAGGATCGATGATAATGTCGGAACCACGCTGTCTCGAGAAAAACCTCGGTTCATTGTCCTTCTCCCCCTCAGGATTAACTCTTTGTGGAAACATCTTTCAATCGGATTTGTGAAACGAAGGAGCAGTGGGAGATGGATGGTTTTTTTAAGATCTCAGGTAATCGTGAAAGAATGCAGATTAATACGAGGAAGCCTTCTACGCAAACGCCAATTTCTAAAGACTCGCAGAGTTCAATGTTCGCCCCCGGCGCCACCTTGCAAAAGAAAGTGTAATCGGTGGACGGATGAGCGCGCAGTCGACTGGGCGTGGCACTTTGTCCTTGCGTTCCAATTGCTCCTTGTGCACCCCTATAAAGAGTGACCGGTCCTGATGAGCGGGGTAGTTTGTTAAGGTTTGTCCTTGGAGAAAGTACTCTTATGCTTCGCACTGTGTCAGGATTAAGACATCAAGATGCAGTTTAACCTTGTTTTTGTGGTCGCCGTCATCGGCGTCGGAATGGTAGCCGCCGATGAGAATCTGAGTATGTAACGTTGTATATCTTTACACCATTCCGTTGTCGTTATATAAAAATGCATATATTCATGTATTTTGTAAATATGCTTCGTTTTAACGAAGTTTAGTAATCGAACGGTATTGGACAATTCGTCCCATGTGTCAAAAATATCTGCCTAAATACTTTGAGCTAGATTTGAGCCATTTTGCCAGGCATACATAATTCTAATGTATTCACTGCTGAAGAGATGGAAGGAAGTTATCCCTGGTTACTTTTATTTCAGTTACCCTTTTTGCCATCGTACAGTTAAATCATTTTGGAATTCCCATCTTGGTATGAGATTAATGAATTCCTGTGTGTGTTTGTAGCGTTAGAGTCTGCCAGGTTTCGGCATAATCCGTATTCTTTGTATGCACTGAGAATCAAGAAAGGGAGATCTTGGAGTAGCACATTGGGTTGCAGATTATGGACTGACTCACTTTAGCGTGTATGTTTGCGTATGCGTGTGAGTTTGTGTACGTGTGAGTTTTTGTGTGTGTGTGTGTGTGTGTGTGTGTTTGTGTGAGTTGAATTAAAGTCGTCTTACTTGCATGTAAATTTTTAACGTAAAATATACTGATTAAAACAAAAAGTCGTAAAGAAGTTTTACAGAAGTAAGATAAGATGCAAATAATGTAGATATTAGGTCACCCACCATGTCATAATATATATATTTCATTTGCCTCATGTGCTGATATTACGATAAAACAGACAACACATTTTTTTGAATTTCAGTGAGTAAGCTGCAGATGGCTCTGAAATCAATGCTCAATGAAAGTAAGTATTTGCATCCGCCTGACGGCCTCTTTAAAAACATTTACATTGTCAACTTTTTTAGATTACTTACATTATCACTAGGTCTACTTGAAATACCTTTTCAACTCTTTGTCTTTGTTATCGTGTAAGACAAGCTTGTTTGTTTTTTATTTTACACTCTTCGATTATTGAACTCGTGATTGAGTAAAAGAAAGGGATATACGACACTAATACAAAGTCAACTTTCCCAGAAAACTACATATAATCTTTACTTAGAACGAATGTTTTTGGCTTCTATTTCTCCTTTATTCTTTGTCCCACCACATAAAGGTTAACTCTGTCTTTTTATTTTATTCTCTTCGATTGATTCATTCTGGATTTATTAATGCGGGAAATTTAGGAACAGACAGGAAAACTCCATCCTAGAGACTTCTTGTAAATCGCATTAAAGGAAAATCTAACCTTAATAGCAAATTATTCTAAAACAAAGCGGAAAATCAGAAAAGCAGATTGGTGAAAGTTAAAAACGAAATCGGACCTTAATAGCAAATTATTCTGAAACAAAGCGGAAAATCAGAAAAGCAGATTGGTGAAAGTTAAAACGAAATCGGGCAGACAATAACAACGTTATTTCTTTAAAAAAAGTTGTTATCACTATACGTATTGGACATGCATGTCAAGTTGGCCGTGATGTAGGGACGGACAACTCTCTATTCGGCTTTTTTTTTTTTTTAGAGTACCTTGAATAAAATGCCATCTTTGCTATAATTTTGGTAGTATCCCAACTGAGACGGAGCTTATGAGAAAAACATAAATTAATGATATTTTTGTACATGACTAACGGGAGAGATGTTCATGACTATGTCGACAAGGCCCTGATTGAAACCAGTCTGCGAACTGTTTCGGGCTTTTACCTTATATAAATAAAATAAACTCAAACTCACTATCTACTGCAAGGAACCGACGGCTTTAAGTTCTCTTTAAAGAACTTGGTAATGCGGATAAAAACCTTACCGAAGGGCACTAGTGCATCGACTTGGTTTTGAACCAGGGACTTCCCGGTTACAAGATCAACCTACCACTGAGCCACCGCGCCTCCACAATGTCATACAGCATAGGCAGGGAATTACGAGTAGGTAAGATCAGAGCCATCTACACGCAGAGTTTGGCCAATGTGGCTTGAAGCTTGGTCACAACATGGCATATACATGCATGTATTATATTTTTGTTGTGTGCTTGCCCCAAAACGCAATTTTCACCATATCGCCAAACTCGAACCGGGTTGGCCAAATTATACATCTAGATGGCTCTGGGTTAAATCGTCTTTTGTATTCTTACAGACGAGGAACTGCAAATGCAAAGTCGCGACACCAAGGGGCAATGCGAATCAGACACCAACAAGTGCAACAACCATGGTACATGTACTGAAGGCAGATGGGGAACGTACTACTGCAAGTGTGTGATGCCATATAGGGTGCGCGGTGCAGATTCTTCTTGCTATCGTAAGTAGATACATGTATATAAGGGCAAGTCAAAGCTTCACTCTTGCACATAAAGCTGGGGATTTTTTTAAACCTCTTTTCATGAAATATTGTGACAATATTCATTACAGATAAAGAACATCTTCTCAGAATGTAAGATTGACTGAATTAAGTTCTGCGGAGATATAATATAATGTCGCAGTCATTTCATGAAAAGAGGAAAGACAACAATTATTCCACCTTTACGGGCAACAGAACTTGAATCAGACAAGATATCAAATTAATGTATGTGCGTGTGTGTGTGTGTGTGTATTGGGGGTTTACAGACGTGTATCAATCAGATATGATTATTTACGTCTGGGGACCGACCTTTAAACGTCACCATCCGAAAGACGTGACTCTGTTTCGAACCTGCGTCCCTCGGCTGAATACGTTTGTAACTTCCGCTGTTTACAGGCACACGCCACAACGCCTAGTTAAATATTCCCGTATCGGTTTATTTCGCACACACACAAATACACCACCAGTGATACTTGGTAATTGGTAATTTTTACGTATTTTTTCCATGTAGAATTTACTTGAAAACATTAGTTTTGCCACTTACGCACTAAATTTAAGTCTTGCTAACTCAAACTTTCAATTTAGTAGAACATACGTGGAATATTTAAGTAAAATCAAATACATAAGAACTTTAAGTTATTTCAGCTTGTATTAATTTAGTAATCTTAACTCAAAATCAGAAATTATACGTATTACTCAAACAATTTATGTTGATTATTCTTATCTTTTTAAAGTAAGGACCGATGCAGTGCGTAATAGAAATATTTACATAATTTATGAATATTCATTAAGACCAAATTAAACTCTTTTTTAAATAAAACGATTCTTTTTTGTGGTTGAATGAAAATTTAAGGACTTTAAAACATTTACTAATTCATTTAACATGGCTAAGCAAAGAAAAGACAATTTTTAATTGTTACCCAGTTCAAAACAAATCAAAACTTGATATTTCAGGAAATTGTCAACCAATTTTCCTTTTAAGATGCTACGATCAAGTATATATAAAATTTGGAGCCTTTCAATATGTGTCGAATTGAAGCGTATGTAATAGTTTGTGATGGTGGTAGATGTATATATATATATACGGTTAAATCTTAGATAGAAGTAGTGTTAGTGATTAGTGATTAATCTTAAATAGAAGTAGTGAATGATTAGTGGATGTTACTTGTTGGATTAGATGGGTACCAAATCGTGCAATATGTAATCCTATCATAGCTTTTTTTTAATTATCTAAAATGATTACAATACTTAAATTATTTACGTTAATGTTACTCGATTAAACTGAGTAAAAATTTATTCAGCAAAATAAGTAAATTCTACTTAAGATGCCGTAGGTAATATTTACTTAATAAAAATAAGGCAATTCTTTTCCTCAATTTTATTGAGTTATTTCGACTATTATTTTTTTTACAGTGTATGCGGTTCCAGCACCCCCGGAAGGGAAGAAAGACTTGGAGATTGAAGCCCGAGACAGTGAGAACAGATGCTTAAGTGACACCGGCAACTGCGATGGCCATGGTATATGTCAACTGAGTACCTTTGGCCGGAATGAGCGGTACATCTGCTTTTGTGCACTTGGATTCAGGAACAACAACTACGGCGGTTGCTCTCGTGAGTACCCTCAGAAAGGGAAATTCAACCCTAACAGCGAACTATTCTAAAATAAAGTAGACAAATCAAAGAAGCAGGCTTCGGACAAAATTTGGAAGTTGTAATCAGTATATGTATTTAAATTTCAAATTGGCTAAAAAATCTGTAATGTAACTCTGATGTAGTAGCGGGCAAATTTTCCCATTTGTTCCAATACACAATGACTACAATGAGGACTTCTGATGTTATGCTTTCCATAATATATTTTGAGTAGTGCCCCAAGGGAGAATTCGCTTAGGAGAAAAACAGAAATTAATTATAATTGTGTACACAACAAATGGGAGAGTTGTATGTAACTACTTCGCAATCCACTTACTAAATTGCCAATTCGGGATTTGTTCAGATTTAGTGATTTCACAATTTAACCCCAAAAAAACTTTCTGGTCCGATTTATTTCAAATTTCACCAATCTGTTTCTCTTATTTTTTCTGCTCTCATACAGAATATATTAAAAATGTTAGGTTTTCCCCTAAAGATAAGGTTGAGTTCTTGTAAAGAAGAACGAGTAATTTTTAAACCCCTTTTTTCAATATTTTAATATCAGTTTGGAAGAATATCATAAAATATAATAAAATTGCCCTTCTAAAATAATTGTTCTTCACGTGCTTTCATTTTCAAATGTGGCAACAAACAGATGGAAAAAAAGTTTAGACGAAACTGTCATGCCACCTGTGTATAGTACCTTATACACATTTATGTTTACAGTGCATGTGATTTTAAGCAAGACTACATAACCATCTTTCCCAATTACTCACAGAAAGTTCCTTTAATTTGATGACCAGAACATACACATTTTTTAGTGTTTACTTAAAGTATGCAATATTGGTTACATTGCCTCGGGTAAAGTTTTCGAAAGTCTCTGTCGTCATGGTGATCGTTTCCCTTACTGAATTCATTTACTGGACCGTTCATCGGGATCGGTTCTTGAAGATTTTGTTTAATTTTTGTTTTCGAGGGGGGGGGGGGGGGGGGTGAGCCCCCACCTCCTAGAACCGTCACTACCAGTCACTAGGACCAGGGACGGATCCAGGACTTTGTATGGGGCCCGGGGGGGATTTAAAAATTTTCAAATGCATTTCTCATCTAACATTTGAAATGGAACAAAACACGTTTAGGAGGCACATTTTTTTGAGTATGCAATATTGGGTACAAGGGCTCCAAATCTGCCAATCACTTTCTGTTATCCTCACATCTGTCTGATATTAAAAAACAAAAACAGTTTGATATGCTTTAACTAGATCACAAACTAATGTTCTCTCTACTCGTACAAAAATCCACATTATTGTTGTCTAGTTTCTACTTTCCTTTGAAGGAAACAGTCACCTTTCGAAAAAGCAAAAATAAAGCAGAGAAGCCGGCCAAACAGGTTTGAAGATGGAAACACAACTAATATTAATTAAGTGTTGAACGCTTTTATGATACCAAGATCGCTAAATAATGGGGACAGCTTGGCAACTCTGTTAGGCAGTGATGTCATATGCTCCCTATTCACCAGTTGTGGTGTATGATTTTAATATCCTGAATGTCTCATATTTTCCACTGACCTGATTTCCTTGCGCCTTTGCCTAAGTTAAATTGAGGATAAAACAGTATTTTATGTAACCATCTATTAAATGGAATTATTTCATAAACACCACAGAAAAGGTATTTTGGATCAGTTTTTGTATTCATAGCTTTCATTTTATACAAATATTGTCCGAATTGATGTCCTCTTTCTGTGTTGAAGAATTTCCTTTAATGACTTGCTCACGAGGTAGAAAGCCCCTTTAAAATCATACGTAGATGTGTGATGGTCTAGTGGATAAGTCATCGGACTGTTGATCAAAAGGTACGTGGTTCAAATCCCAGCTCAGCTCTAACGTCATTTGGAGAGAAGTTAATCTACATTTGCCACTCTTCACCCAGCTGTTAACGAGTACTTGATATGTTTGAGAGCTAGTTACTTTGGCGGCTCGGCTATAACAAGGGTAATATATAGAAAAGGAGTAAGCACCATACTAATCACTACGTAACGCATCATATGGGCGATATATAACAGTGGCTACCATTATTATAATCTCCTCGCCTATTATTAATTCCACATTGTTGTTCCCCAAAATCTTATGAAATACTTCTCAACACTTCCGCTTACTTGCAGCCTATACACCCCGCGAGATCGAGTTCCTGTCCTACGTTGCTCGCGACTTAGAACTTGAGATGCTGACTCGTGACAGTTTGGGTAGGTGCAAATCAGATACCCATAACTGTGACGAGGCTGGTGAGTGTGTGACGAAAACCTACGGACGATACGCAGGAGAGTACATTTGCGTGTGCAATCACGGCTACCGGAACAACGCCTACGGTGGATGCTCACGTAAGTTTGATAAAAACATCAGGCGTGGATCCAGGATTTCTTAGGGGAGGGGGCCCAACTTTTTGGTTTTTTTTCTCCCGAAAATTCACTCAGTGGAGGGATGGGAGGGGGGGGGGGGGGGGGGGGGGGGTAGTGAGCACATTTTTTTTTTGGTCCTCGAAAACTTAAAAATTGCAGCCCCTCCTTGACCGCCAGGGGGGGGGGGGCCCAACCCCCCCCCAAAAGGTAAAAATCACGTGTTTTGACATGATTTTTTTTCTCAAGGGAGGGGGGGGGGGGCCACCCGGGCCCCCCTAGATCCGCCACTGAAACACATTGCAAATCGGTTGAAGACATCTGAACAGTTGAACACATAAACATCTACAGTTACAATCATATCGTACAAGCTATCCAGATCTTTACAGCTAACATTAAACATAAATTGATCGGTATAGCTACCTCTTGGTTTAACCATGTTTTGAGGTACATGTTGATTATGCTTATTTGTTTAATACGTGATTCATGGAATGTAGGTCTTATTTATTGATAGCCAGAAGAACGTAATTGTTGTCTTATGTGATATTAACTAACGCCCTAACTGGCTCTCCACATATCATTATAAGATTAGGTTTTCGACTACCCAAAGGGGTGCACAGGAGCACGCGCTCCCACCCAATTCAATAAGAAGAGAAATAAAGAAGACGAGGTCTCATGGCGCCGATTTTGATGTGGTTGCTTGTCATAGAATGTTTTCGCCAAAACGACACACAAAAAACCTAATGACCCTTTTTTTTCTTGTCCCCCCCCCCCCATCATCCTTGCCAGATAATTCCGGATCTGCCATTCTTACAACTTACTATTTACAATATAATCAACTTTCTTGTGATACCTTTCAGACAGCCTCTTTTGAAATTCAGTTTCATGACTCTTCTTTCTCTTCAAGCGGATAAATTAATCTCACACTAATATACTCTTCCATACGTCTTTTTTTAATATTACACACAGCCATGACAACACGTGAGATCGAGTACCTCGACATGCTTGCCCGCGAGGAACAAATGCAGATGCTAGTCCGTAAATACTATTCCTTGTCCGAGTGCAGCCAAGGAACCAACGACTGCAACGAAAACGGCGAGTGTGTGGAGGAAGACGGAAAGTACTGGTGCGAGTGCGGAGAAGGCTATGAGGAGAACGAGGATGGTGGATGCTCACGTAAGTATAAAGCTGAATAATTATCAAGACGATTAACAAGACTTTCGAATAATTAACCTTAGGCCTTGTTCTTCGATGCAGCGGTAAACTGCAGCGGTTAACACCAAATGAAGAGGTAAATTTAAGGACGCTCAGGACCTTTGTTGCCCACAGTTGCCATTCATTTGCACGTTAAAAGAAGAGAAACCAGCGGCTGTTTTTTTTCTTCTAACGGTTTACGGAGTCAGGCCCGTAACTTGGATGTTAGTGAGTGTGGGGGAGAGAGGGATTTTTGTTGTTGCATTTTTTGTTTGTTTTAGGTACAATTTTTACGAAAAAAAAAATCAGTGTTTTTTTTCGGTGGCCCGGTCCATCATCTGTTGAAGCGTATGATAATTACAATGGCGGAATAAGTAATGCGAACGTGATATCTATCTATAGGATATACAATAGGCTATTAACATCGACCTCGGGCTGATTTCTTGAGAGTCTTTGCGGTCGTGTATTAGCAATAGTACATCATTTTAAATTTAATCATATGCAAAATTTAACCAAACAACGATAATGAGGAGAATATCTCTGTGCCTTTCCACAGCCATAGTAACACGTGCCACTGAAGTCGATGACGACGATTTCGCTGAACGTAAAAAGGAAATCATGCGACAACTGGCCGAGTTCCTCCAAGAAGAATAAACCATAGCGTACTAAGAGAGATAGCTGTGGCACGAACGCGCCTGAAGCGGTCAAAGGTATTATCATGGTGCGTCGTTCCCCTACGGAGAATGTGTGAGGCTCCGTGAAATGACTGGCCAATCACAAGCAACTTCCAGTTACATAACTATCTCTGTTTTGCGATGCCCGTTTTGGAATCAAGAGCATGTAGCTTGCTTAATTTTCGTTTTTTGCCCTCTTCTTCTTCTTCTCCTCCTCCTTGGATTACTTCTTTCATTTTCTTTACCTTAATGAAACCTTTACATGATTGTTATCATGAATTATGTTCATCATAATGATTATAGAGTACCTTTAATAGCATTTATAAAGCACCTTTCTTTCATTTGATGTAAACTTAAAATCTGAATATCAATATGCGATATTACAAGTTGTAGAAATGATAGTCTATTCAATATAATCTTCAACTTTTGATTATTCTAGTCTTCCAGTTGCTGGATTTTATCAAATTAAACGACCTATGAAAGAAAATGCATCGTGTTTATGTGATTTGTATGTTTTGTTTGGTGTATATTTTATTTACTGAAGGATTGTATTTTGATTCCCAAATGTAATGCTACTATATGTCTCACGGCTGTGGCATGGCGGATGTCACAGTTGGGGGGGGGGGGGGGTGTTACACCCACAAATGTAATAACGCCCACAAATGTAATAACACTTTACCCACAAATGTATAACACCCACAAATGTAATGAATTTGAAGGAATATTTTGTCGAATTTGTTCAAAACTAAAACCTTGTAATAAAGCATGGTATAGCGCGCAGTCTTTACTCCGGTTATTTCAAAAATTTAAAACATCTTCAAAACAAAGACCCCATAATCCTTTTCCTGTGGAATAACGTTGTTGTTGTTGTTGTTTTAGGCTTAAGGGCGTGTGTCATTCAATTATGAATATTTACTTCTTCTTCTTCTTCTTGATTTGTTTTTGTTTGGCAATCAGTCACAGTTGACTATTTTTGCCACACACTATTTTATGAATTATTTATATATATATATACATATATGTACAATTTCATGTCATAAATGACTATTTTTAGGATTCTTTCTCTTTCCATCCTCTTTCCTTCCTCTTTTTTTCTTTTTAGACTCTATAACTTTTTTTAGAGAGAAAATTCAATAAATTAATAATTTTGGAAAGAGACGACGGCCTAGCAAGTTGTGAATGAAAAACGCCTATAAACTAAAACTAAAAGTACGTACTTGTGTTTACGCGCACGTGCGCGTTCAAATATCACCTCACGTATGCACATGTGTACTTCGCACTTACCCCCACCCTTTTCAAAATGCCATCTTACCAGTCTTTGAGGTATATTTCGCAGACTTTCGGTTTTAACCTAGGTCACTCCGGCATAGGTGAGGGGGTGCCAGCTAGCATGTGATGTTGGAGGTGATCACCGAATTGTTAGAAAAAGTAAATGGTCAAATTAGTTACAAGTATTGTGGGCTTTGTTGGTGCAAGAAAAAGGAAAAGAGAAGATAAGAAGAAAAAAAAAAAAAAAAAAAAACCTCAATAACAATTTAATTGTTTTGATACAGCCGCTTTGTTCTTAAAACGAAGCGAACTATTGCTTTTTGTTTAACTATTTCTGAAAGTTTAAGTAGTGTCATGATTTCCTGTGGATGTGATAAATCAGTTTCTACGAGTAACATAGCTCTTTCTATTATGTACTTTGGGCATTCAGTGAGAAAGTGGTTTACAGTTTCAGTACGTCCTATGCAGTTATTGCAATGGCCTGTCGAGTGTATATTCAATCTGAAGAGATCTAAGTTCAAACCTATCACTCCTATTCTTAATCTATGGAGAATACTTTCTTCAAATCTGTTCAACTTACATTCATATGGTTGATTTACTGTAGGCAGTATATGTCTAAGAGATCTATCAGAATTATTCCATCTGTCTTGCCAGAGTTTTATATACTTGCTGGTAATAATACTCTTTATTTCAGAAAAGGATAATTTATTACAAATTTCAATGTTATTTTGTAAAGCAGATTTTGCATAAAAATCTGCCATTTCATTTCCGTGTACACCACAATGGCTAGGAATCCATTCTAAGTGTATGTGTTTTCCTTGATACGATAATTTTGTACTTAATGTAATAATTTCAGTTACAAATGTAATATCTTTTTCATCCTTTATGGCGAGCAGGGCGCTTACGGAATCACAAAAAATAACAATGCCAACATACACATTAATGTTCTCTAGCCAATTAAGCGCAAGGACAATTGCAGCCAATTCGGCTCTGAAAGATGAGGTGTGATCCGCCAATCGTTTGGCTTGTTGAAAGGAGAATGCTGGTACATAAAAAGAAGCAGAACTTATTCCAAAACTTGGAACCTTTGACCCATCTGTATAGATGTGTAGTTGTATTGGCCGTAGTCGAGCGTAGTCTTTTCTCCAGACCCGGTTATTCAAAAGTTAAAAAAAAAAAAAAAAAAAACTTTTAAACTAAGACCCCACCATCTTCCAAACTGAGACCCGGTAATAAAGCATGGGTTTAGAGCGTAGTCTTTCTTCCAGACCCGGTTATTTCAAAACTTTTTAAAAATCTCCAAAACTAAGACCCCATCTTCTTATTCCTGTGGAAGAATATGAGTATTGAGCGTAGTCTTTCCTCCAGACCCGCATATTGCTCCGATTGTCTCATTTTCGCTCGTGTGAACATTGCCAGCACAAAACACTGACCTCTACCTCCTGGACGGATCATCGCCCATTCCCATTCACTATACATTACGTACTAAAAGGCTGTATTGTCTGACCGTTCATGAATATTCATGTTTTTGCTAAACTCGGCAAAATGTTTGCTTTTACTAAATGGAAAAATTACGGTGGGGGTTTGGATGAAATGGACATAATGAACATAGCAGAAGTGATAATTGATAATTCATGCTTCTTATCCTTCGTGTGCTTGACCTATAATCTTACAATCACTTGGCAGACTGAGTCCAAAGTTCGACTTGTTTCACATGTGTATTATAGGCAATGGTGAGCTTGTAACCTATTTTAAAAATTACGGTGGGTGAACTTTCAAAAGTCAATGAGACACTGTGTGCTATATATATGGACCATTTTAACTGATTCGTCAGTTCGTGTGACCGCCGACCAATCATTTATTTGTGACGTGTTGTATCCACATATGTAATAATTTTTTTTTTCTCTTTGCCTCTTAGAGGTGTTTATTCAATATTCAAACAATAACATAATTTTGCTTACAATTCAGCAAATCAATGGAACATCAATAATACACAAGTTATTTATTTAAATATACCTAAGCAAATTCGCAGGAAATTTCATATTTTGTACTTTCAAATGTTCGTTTATTTCTATTCTGTTAGTAATTTCTCTCTTAAATAAGTAAATTAAACTCAAATCTCTATTATCATACCCATACTTATTACGAAAAATAATCATTTTATAAATCGACCAAAAAGCAATAGTCATTATCAAATCGATTTCGGTTTGCGAATTCATTTTGAGTAATAAAACAATATCTATCTCTATTCTAAGATTGAAAGCACGTGAAAATAAGTCCTTTAAATATGCAAAGAAGGTTTCATTTGCCTTACATGAAATGAAAGCGTGAAGCACATCTTCAGTCTTTTTGCATTTTAAACAAAGGTCATCGTATGAGAGACCCCACTTGAACAGATTGTTACGAACTGGTAACATATTATATAAAAGCTTGAAATTAAATTCACGTAGACGAAAATCTTTTATCCCAATCAAATTCCTATTAAAAACAGAGGACCATTTAACGTCCTTCTGCAAGACACCTTCCCAATACAAACAACATTTATTTATTTTAATTTGTTCAAAACTAATCATATTATACCACTGTTTACTACTCAAAAGACTAACAGGCTTAACTGATTTTCCAAAAACAAAATGGGGGATAGAGAAATTATGGTCTTTGAAAACCAAAGGTACCCTATGCTTATCATTTATCCAAATTTTTGGAATTGATTTTTGTAACTTTGTATAGTCAAAAATCAAAAATTGTTTACTTCTCCTAGTTTTAAGGCGGATAAATAATTCATTTACTGAAACAAAAGTACCATTTTTAAAGATATCATTTAAGTATATAATACCACTTTTATACCAGTCTTCATAAAATAACATTTTCTTTTCAAAAACAATATCTTGATTATACCATAAAATATTTTCGTCGACATGTTTCTGTGTCTGACATTCAGCTGATGTGTATTTGTTTATGAGGTACCATGCATGTAATATTTCTATGTAAAAATATGGGACATTTCTAAGTTTTAAGAGATTTAAAGTATAATCAGTATAATTGCAATTGAGCAGTAGATGTAGCCCTCCCAAACAGTCAAACCAATGTTTACACATGTCTTTCCAATTCCCTGTTGTATTATCTAAAAGCATCCCAAGCCACTTCAGCCTAAAACTAAACATCTGCTTTTTAACATCAATCATTCGTATTCCTCCTTCACAATAATCCTCAGTAACAATACATCGTTTTACCTTTTCAATTTTACTTTTCCAAAGAAATTTAAATATCAGGCTATTAAGTTTTATCAAAAAAGTAGACGGTATTGTATCAACAATCATTAAATGGATAACTTGACTAATTGCAAATGATTTGATAATAGTCAGTCTTCCAAACAAAGTCAGGTTTCTTTTTCTCCAGTTATCTAACAGTTTTTGCATTTTTTCTAATTTATTTTCCCAATCTATCTTTAAAGCACACTGCAGATCAGGTGCGATATAATGTCCTAAGTATTTTACTGGCTCATCTGTCCAATGTAAGCCAAAACAAGATAACGGCCATCGTTGACAGGCTGTTCCAATCCAAATCAAGACAGTCTTTTCTCTATTTAACTTCGGTCCTGCAACTATGCCAAAAACCTCTAATTCGATTAAAATATTTTCAAAAGAATTTATATCAGATGCATAAAATAAGGTGTCATCTGCATATTGCAGCAATTTCAGATCAATACCTTTATCATCAATATCTAGACCTTTGATTTCCTTATTTTCTCTCACTTTATTTGCCATTAATTCTGCGGCCATTACAAACAATTAGGCCGAGAGGGGACACCCTTGGCGTATTCCTCTCAGAACACTAAAAGTAATCTTACAATCACTTGGCAGACTGAGTCCAAAGTTCGACTTGTTTCACATGTGTATTATAGGCAATGGTGAGCTTGTAACCTATTTTAAAAATTACGGTGGGTGAACTTTCAAAAGTCAATGAGACACTGTGTGCTATATATATGGACCATTTTAACTGATTCGTCAGTTCGTGTGACCGCTGACCAATCATTTATTTGTGACGTGTTGTATCCACATATGTAATAATGTAATTTATTTTTAAATGAAAAAAAAGAGGAATAAGATGGTGGGTCTTAGTTTCGAAGATTTTTGTTTTAATTTCTATTTCTTTTGAAATTACCGGGTCTGGAGGAAATACTACGCTCTATACCTATGCTTCATTACCAGGTCTTAATTTGAAAGATGGAGGGGTCTTAGTTTAAAAGGTTTTTGTTTTGTTTTGTTTTGTTTTGTTTTGTTTTGTTTTGTTTCTTGTTTTTTTAACTTTTAAATAACCGTGTCTGGAGGAAAGACTACGCTCAATACTCATGTACTAATTGAATGACACACGTCTTTAAGACTACAACAACAACAACAACAACAGTTCTTCCACAGGAATAAGATGATGGGGTCTTAGTTTTGAAGATTTTTAAAAAAGTTTTGAAATAACCGGGTCTGGAAGAAAAACTACCCTCTAAACCCATGCTTTATTACCTGGTCTTAGTTTGGAAGATGGTGGGGTCTTAGTTTAATTTTAAAAAAAAATACTTTTGAATAACCGGGTCTGGAGGAAAGACTACGCTCGATTCTCATGTTATTCCACAGGAAAAGGATAATGGGGTCTTAGTTTTGAAGATTTTTTAAATTTTTGAAATAACCGGGTCTGGAGTAAAGACTGCGCACTATACCCATGCCTTATTACAGGGTTTCGACAAATTCGACAAATTCGACAAAATATCCCTTCAAATTTATTACATTTGTGGGTAAAGTCATTATTACATTTGTGGGTGATTCAAAATTATTACATTTGTGGGTAAAGTGGTTATTACATTTGTGGGTGAAATTATTACATTTGTGGGTAAAGTGTTATTACATTTGTGGGTAAAGTATTGTGGGTAAAGTGTTATTACATTTGTGGGTGAAATTATTACATTTGTGGGTAAGTGTTATTACATTTGTGGGTAAAGTATTATTACATTTGTGGGTAAAGTGTTATTACATTTGTGGGCGTTATTACATTTGTGGGTGTAACAGGGGGCTTCTTTCTCTATCTCTCTCTTCCCTTCTCTCTTCTCTCTCTCTCTCTCTCTCTCTCTCTCGCTTTCTCTCTTTCTTCCTCTTGCTTCCCTTCTCTCTTTCTCTCTCCATTTGTTTCTCTCTTTTTCTTTCTCGCTCCCTCTCTCTCTCTCTCTTTATCTCTCCTTATCTCTCTCTTTCTCTCTCCCTCCCCCTCTCTCTCTCTCTTTGCATTAATCTTTTTTTTTTTTTTTTTTTTTTTTTTACTCTACTATGTAATTTATTCAATATCAATCCCAAATAAGCTTTCAGATCGCCACAATCACGAAAGACGTTTTTGCCCGCATTTTAACCTCGCCAGCAGAGACGGGCGGACACTAATTGATACATGACATATTACGCAATCCGAAAGTGGTTTCTAAAAGACATAAAATTGGGTTCTAAAATTGCTCTCGAGTTGATTTCGCGAAAATCTTAGCGATCATGTTATATCAACAAAACAAAGAAATAACAAAAATATCATCATCAACAACGAACAACAACAACAACAACAACAGAGAGACATACACACACGACAAACAAATTCTAAAGTGACAACATAAAATGTGCATTAAAATTGAATTTATTACAGTTAGTGAAAGGTGTGCACTTATTTAGTCACACCGCGAAACCGTTTCCAAACCGATTCCAAAGCAACCTATGTTTTGTTATTAGGGGGTAATATGTAATTTGGTTCGTGTGATGTTGGTCTTGTCGGTGTGACTGTATGGGGGTATTATACCTCAGTCATGCCGATAAAAAAACCGACTCCAAACTGATTCCAAAGCGACCTACTTGGGGCCGTTAGGGTAATACATCATTTTGTTTAATAGGCCTGGGGGTGTTTCACAAAGCCTATTTTCAATGACCAAATGACAAAAGTCAGTGACAAATCTGCTGATGACCAATCAAAGCAAGGATTTCAGTAGCTTATAACAAAAACTGTCATTTGTCACTGATGACAAGTTTTGTGAAACACTCTCCTGGTGTCGGTTTTGTTCGTCTGAGACTGCGGTATTAGTTGGTGTAGAGGAGTAGGTTTGGAGAGAGAGACTTGACGTCACTAATCTTGTCGGTGGAAGCATTGTTGAGCAGGGCGCTTGAGATGGCGGACGGGGAAGCAGTGGGGGCATCTTGAAGCATCAGGGCGATCACACCTAAAGTAGGAGGGAGGAAGGGATAAAGGAACGATTAGATATGGAGGGAGAGAGGGAGAGAGACAGAGAGAGAGAGAGAGAGGAGAGGAGAGAGAGAGGAGAGGAGAGAGAAAAAGAGAGAGAGAGGTGTGTGTGTGTGTGTGTGTGTGTGGGGGGGGGGGGGGTTGTAAAATGCTGTTACGTTTTTTAAATCAATATATTCAATTGAGTCTTTTATATTGCTTAAATCATTATAGTGTAACATTTGAAGCCGAAATGAAACTACTATGAAAATAAGATTATGAAATAAACAAGTGTTTGGTGAGATTATGGCACCAAAATCATTACATTACGCCTATAAACCGTGTATAGATAAATGGTGTGGTAATATAAGCCCATCCCCCCCCCCAAAAAAAAAAAAAACGTGTACGTGTAGTCTGCTGACACAGACTCAAACTTGACACTTAAGTCTTGAGATGAGCCTAGCTCTGGCTAAGTACAGGGCCTATATGAGCACTTTATTAGACCGTGCATTCGTCATAGTCTCTTAGATCAGACACTCTATTACGCACTACGTCTGATAAGGGTTTGTGCCTGCAAACTATAGGCTGGGTTACATGTCTCTGCCACATCTAACGTTATTTTGTATGAATGTTATATTTTCATGTATTCCTTGTATTTTTGAATATCACATATTTGTTATGGCGTCCTAGTGGGCGTGCTTGGAAAGCAGTTTTTAAAACTGAACGTACCTACCCTCTATTTTAAATAAAACTTGAATAAATAAATAAATAAATAAGACAATAATCTACATTTTGATAAACTTAACCCGGATGAGGTGACTAGGTGCCCGGCAAATTTGATTCCTTGACATGCTCGAGCCGTCGAGCGCCATAATAGCAGTCGTGCTATCGGTAGGTCAATAGTGGGCCAATAGTGAGCCAGGAGTGTCAAGTGTGATATAAAGTGGTGAACATTATGGCTGTTTTATGCAAACAATTAAATGTATTGAAACCGGGGCCCGTTTCATAAAACTTGTTATCTATAACAAATGCTAAATTTCTATGACGAATTCGCGCTCAGCCAATCAGTTGCCATATTTTTGGTAGCTTATAACAGTATTTTGTAGCTTGTTATTGCTATCAAGTTTTATGAAACAGGGCCCAGAATCAATAATAAACTTGAATAGCTTACTGCTTGGGTTGTAGTTGTTATCAAGAGGAAGGGACCTCTGGTCAATACGGTCAAGACCCCATGTGACGGCCTGAGTGCGGACAACACCATCCTCTTAAACAGATACGAGGGGAAAGACGGACCAATCAATCAGTGATGTCATTTTGTATGTTAGAAGAAGAAAACAAAAATCAAAAACTTGTCCGGCACTACGTCAGAGTGGTATTGTCCATTCAACCAATTTGAAATTCCAATACGTATAGAGATTAGAATTTGAAGAAAAAAAAATCATTATTTTGTTATCCGATTTCGTTCAACCTTTCACCAATATGGTTCCCCGATTTTCTGCTTTCTTTTAGAGTAGTTTGTAATTAGAAGTAAGAGTGGAGCGCCAATAGTTTCAGACAGGCACGTACGAAGGGGGGGGGGGGGGGGGGGGGAGGGTGTATTTTGGTATTTTCTATGTGTGTATTTCATTATACAAGATTATGCAAGAATATCGCCTACGGATGAGGAAAACCTTTCAAAATGTCTGAGCTGTGATTTCAACCTCAGTGACTAATAACAAACCTATAGGTTTAATAAAAGATCACTCTTCTTTAAATGGCTCCCCCAAACATTCCACTTGCAATTACATTCGTCTCTGCTATTAGCTTCTTTTTATTGAGTTTTCTGGGTAAGCAATTAAGTGCCTCTAGTATACACATGTGATGACAATAATTTTGCTACCAGATATCCGATAATCCATATCTAATTGCACAGGTGTATTGTGAATACACTTTCTTTAGTAATACACAACCTGGTAGAAACTGTTGTACCTTGAAACGAAGCCTTTTTTATTTTTACAAAGCCGTTTTTATAACTTAGGCTCTATAGTCTGTCTAGTAGCTAATTATGCAACTCTAAACTCTAGGTAAATTCTCTTGGACGGGGGTTTGCCGCTGAAGCCCCGAAACCCCTACCCATTGGGGGGGGGGGGTCTCAAAGTAGAGCCCATATTTCGCAATTTCGAAAATTGGAATTTTGAAAAACGGACCCATGTTCAGGTATATTTTTTATTAAAAATGGGCCCCATGTTTAGGGATTTTCTGTGAAAAAGTGACCCATTAGAGTGGCACACCCCCGTATGTCTTAATATGTGAGTACCCCCCCCCGCGACATTGACCCTTCTGAGAGGGTCAATGTCGCTATTCATAAGGACCGCTATTCATAAGGTCCGCTTTTCATAAGGTCCGTTATTCATAAGGACCGCTATTCATAAGGACCGCTTTTCATAATTTGAGAAAAGGGTCATTATTCATAAGGTTCATTATTCTTAAGGATCGCTATTCATAATCAGAGAAGAGGGTCGGTATTCATAATATGAGAAGAGGGTCGCTATTCATAATGCAAAATCGGGGTCGTTAATCATAAGGGTCGCTATTCATAATAGGAGAAGAAGGTCGCTATTCATAATACGAAATGAGGGTCACTATTCATAATGCGTGATGAGGGTCTCTATTCATAAAGTTTATTATTCATAAGGGTCGCTATTCATAATAGGAGTAGAGGTTCGCTATTCATAATACGAGGAGAGGTTCGCTATTCATAATATGAAATGAGGGTCGCTATCCATAATAAGAATAGAGGGTCGCTATTCATAATACGAGAAGAGGTTCGCTATTCATAATATGAAATGAGGGTCGCTATCCATAATAGGAATAGAGGGTCGCTATTCATAATACGAAATGAGGGTCGCTATTCATAATAGGAGTAGAGGGTCGCTATTCATAATAGAAGTAGGGATTCGCTATTCATAATACGAAATGAGGGTCGCTATTCATTATATGAAATGAGGGTCGCTATTCATAATAGGGTCACTATTCATAATACGAGAAGAGGTTCGCTATTCATCATATGAAATGAGGGTCGCTATTCATGAAAGAAACTGGAGAAAGTAAATTCGTTGCTGAGAGTTTGGAAAATGAGGAACCTGACATACTATGGGAAAATAACAATTATAAAAACGCTTATTGCTTCCCAATTTGTATATATTGCGACATGTTTACCAATTCCACAAAAGTTTGTTGTCAACCTAAACAGATTAATTTATATCTTTCTTTGGGGATCAAAAAGGGAAAAAGTAAAAATAGCGGTTGTTACTCGTGCTGCAGAGGGTTGGGGTTTAAACATGGTAGATATCCAAACCAAATTCCAATCATTGCAATTATCTTGGTTTTCAAAATATATGAAAGGAGGTAAGTCGCAATGGAGAATACTTTTCAGATATTGGATCAGTTTTATTCAAGACATACCATTAATTTTGAAAGTAAACTGCTCAAGCAAAGACATGTTCTCGCTATGTAAGATGTATAAGTTACCAATATTCTATGCTAACTTACTCACATACTGGTGCGAATTAAGATATGTTCATTTCCTGAATGTAAGAGACATATGTAATGAAATTCTGTGGTATAACAGTTATATCAAACATGAACGAAATGTTTTATTTAAAAAAAGAAAGAATGAAAACGGAGTCTGTAAAGTTAGTGATGTATTTGAAAACGTTCAATATCGTAGTTGAACCTTTAACGCATTTATATTCATGCCTTGATCTTTCCCTTCCACTTTCCTTATGTTTCCCCTATTTTATTATATCAGTTTGTTGATTGTGAATATATATATATATATTGTAATTAAACTCTATATGCAATGTTGTTAAAATGATATAAAGTAATAAAGTGCCTCGTATGAGGAAAAGAGAAAAAATTAAATAAAAGGAGTGGAGGGTCGCTATTCATAATATAAGTAGAGATTCGCTATTCATAATACGAAACGACGGTCGCTATTCATAATAGGAATAGAGGGTCGCTATTCATAATAGGGTCACTATTCATAATACGAAATGAGGTACGCAATTCATAATAGGAGTAGAGGGTCGCTATTCATAATACAAAATGAGGGTCGCTATTCATAATAGGAGTAGAGGGTAGCTATTCATAATAGGAGTAGAGATTCGCTATTCATAATAGGAGTAGAGGTTCGCTATTCATAATACGAAGCGAGAGTCGCTATTCATAATAGGGTCACTATTCATAATACGAAATGAGGGTCGCTATTCATAATACGAAATGAGGGTAGCTATTCATAATACGGAATGTAGGTCGCTATTCATAATAGGAGTAGAGGGTCACTGTTCATAATAGAGGTAGAGATTCGCTATTCATAATACGAAATGAGGGTCGCTATTCATAATAGGATTAGAGGGTCGCTATTCATAATAGGAATAGAGGGTCGCTATACATAATAGGGTCACTATTCATAATTCGAAATGAGGTTCGCTATTCATAATACGAAATGAGGTTCGCTATTCATAATACGAAATGAGGGTCGCTATTCATAATATAGTATTAATGACTGCTTTGAGAGAAATAGTTGTTTTTATACGCTCTCGGGAAGGTTACAATTGGGCTATTGCCCTCGGCGATTTCTCGAATATTAAAGCAGTCATTAATACTTTCATATGCCGAAAAAAAAATAGACTAAAAAATAAAAAATAAAAAATAAAAAAACTTTTGTCGAAGATGGGATTCGATCTCTTGCGTACAAAAGGTGATGTAACTAAAATCAGCGCCTTAAACCGCTCGGCCATCGCGCTCTGTCACCATATGTAGCAGTTTTCTCTAATATATATATTAAAATAGATTGAAAACGGCTTCGCGTGGTGGATGCTTCGCCGCTGCTCCATTAAACGGGCCCTCCTTTTACTTTTGCAATGCATATTGGCACGAACTTAGATCAAGATCTATCGGCAGATGTTGTTTTTTTGTTTTTGGAAGTTTATTTTCGTCTTCATGTCAACAATGCAAGATAAAATTGTCGGTAAGATCGATCGAGATTCAATTGTATTGAAATTACCGACCAATTTTTCGCACACGTTCGGTATCCTCGATCGCTCAGACCATTTTTTAACATGTAAACCTATGGGGTAACCATGGAGACTGACCTATTTTCCCGGTAACCATGGTTATTGGGATTTTAGAACTGTTTTAACCATGGTTACCGGGAATTTTACAGGAACAGTTAAAGTTTATGAATGCAATTTCGACCAATCAAATGGCTGGATTTCTTAAGTGAGGTATATAATACGTAATGAAGGTCGCTATTCATAATAGGAGTAGAGATTCGCTATTCATAAAACGAAATGAGGGTCGCTATTCATAATAGGAATAGAGGGTCGCTATTCATAATACGAAATGAGGTTCACTATTCATAATAAGAGTAGAGGGTCACTATTCATAATACGAAATGAGGGTCGCTATTCAATTCAATTCAATTCAATTCAGTTTTATTTCGCAATATAAAAATCAAAATATACAAAGTAACCGTAAATTTTAACTATGTTTACAAAGGTTATATGCGGGGCTTTCCATGAAGGTTGCGAAAACCTGTGAAGTTGGATCGCCCATTAAAGAATGAAAAACAAATACAAAAAGAAATATAACATATTATAAGCACACAACAATAAATTAAGTAAAATAAGCAAAGTACAAACACTTCAACTATCTATAAGACAAGAGAAATTAAAATAGAGAGAAGAAAAACAATATATAAAGGGGGAAAAGAAAGGAAAGGAAAACAAGATAACAATGAAAGAGGGTTCAGATATACAATTTAGAAGAAAAAAAAAATCAACAACTGAGCTGATTAGTAATTATTTAGTAGTAAGATTTTATATTGTTTTCTAAAGGAAGATATGAATTGTGATTTCGTTATTACTTGGGGAATCATATTCCACTGTTTAGGACCTAGATAACTCATTGATTTAGCTTCATAACTAGACTTAACAGACCATAAATGAAATTTGTTGGAAAGCCGTGTATTATAATTACGAATTTGACTATTATATTGAAAGAGGTCTGAAAAGGGGGCAGGTAACAACTTGTTTTTATATTTGTACATGAACGTTGCGATTTCTTGCTTATTTATATCATATATATTTAATAACGAAAGCTTCTTAAACAAAGGTGCTGATGGTGCTAGATAATGAGAATTGGTAGCTATTCTTAAACATTTCTTTTGAACTTTAAATAGTGAGTCTAATTCAGTTTGTGTTGCATTAGTGGCCCATACAA